TCCTCCTCCTCCTCCTCCTCCTCCTCCTCCTCCTTCTTCGTCATCATCTTCTCTTTTTCTACATTCCCTCAGCATAATTCAGTTCTCTGTAAACATTATGTAAGTTTGTATCTTCCCATCCTATTCTAAAGCTAGTCCCCGTCTCTGCCTTTTTTGTTTTTCTATTTATTTGAGTGTTTTGCCTGCATGTATGTAAGTGCATCGCACTCATGCAATGCTCACAGAGGCCAGAAGAGAGTGTCGGATTCCCTGGAACTAGAGTTACTGGTGGTTGTTATCTGCCCTGTGGGTGCTGGCAACCTAACCCAGGTCCTCTGCAAGAGCAGCAAGTGCTCTTAATCCCTGAGCCAGCTCTCCTGTTTTGTTTTTCAGACAGCGTCTCAACTTTGTCACCCTGGCTGACCTGGAACTCACTATATAGACCAAGCTGGCCTCGAATTCACACTTAACCTGCTTCTGCCTCCTGAGTGCTGGGATTAAAGGCATGCACTAACATACTCTTCCTTTTTCTTCTTTTTGATATTAAAAGAAATCACACACCCTGTGCACTGAATCCCCACCCCAAGTTCATAGATGCTGCTTCCGTTTCTGGACTTTACCTTTTTCTATAAATTATTCAATAGTGGCAATTATTAGGTCTAGGATGTGGCTCAGTATGTAAATTGCCTAGCATACAGGGTGCCCTGGATTTGACCCCCAGCAATACAAGCATGAGTGATGGTTCATGTTTATAATTCCAGCACTGGGGAGGTAAAGTCAAGAGGATCAGAAGTTCAAGGTCATCCTTGTATACGTTGTGAGTTCAAGACCAGCCTGTGCTACATGAGACCCTGATTCAAACAAATAAGGGTAGTGTCTGTTTTTTGGCATTTGTGGCCTCTTACGTGCACACATCTCCTCAGCTGTTTCCCTGCAAGTTTTTTTTTCAAGTGAATTATTCAAACAGCATGAGTCATCATATTTTTGGCTGCTTATGGGTGGTGTCAGAATTTAATTCCTGAAAACCATCCCATTCCTCTCACAGTAACTTAACTTTTTAAGACTGTTTTTGTAATCTGCCCTAATACTTCTGAGACATTTTTAACATCTGATCACTTAAAATTGAGCATACATGTGTCCTCACACCTCACATTCCCAGTCCTTTTTGTGGTTGTCTTTTGAGA